GTGTGTGTGTGTGTGTGTGTGTGTGTGTGTGTGTGTGTGTGTGTGTGTGTGTGTGTGTGTGTGTGTGTGTGTGTGTGTGTGTGTGTGTGAAAATACACACCGCAAACAGATGTAGTTAAGCCAACCTAACCCCCAGTGTAGACAGCGCTAGGTCAACTGAAGAATTCTTCCGTCAACCTAGTTACCACCTCTCAGGGGGATGGATTACCTACAGCAGCAGGAGAACCGTTCCCATCTACACCTGGGTGGGCAAACTTTTTGGCCCAAGGTCCACATCTGGGTATGGAAATTGTATGGCGGGCCATGAATGCTCACGAAATTGGGGGTTGGGGTGGCACAGGGGATGAAGGCTCTGGCTAGGGGTGTGGGCTCTGGAGTGGGGCCAGAAATGAGGAGTTCAGGGTGCAGGAGGATCTCCGGGCTAGGGGTGAGGAGCGGGCTCCAGCTGGGTGGGCGGGCTCTTGGATGGGGCTGGGGATGAGGGGTTGCTCCAGGCGGGGACAGAGGGGTTCGGAGGGCGTGGTGGGGATCAGGGCTGGGGCAGGGGGTTGAGGTGCGGGAGGGGGTCAGAGGTGCAGGCTCCGGGTGGCTCTTACCTTAAGCAGCTCCCAGAAGCAGCAGCATGTCCCCCTTCCGGCTCCTACGTGGAGGCGCGGCCAGGCAGCTCTGCAACCTGCCCCATCCATTGGCACCGCCCCTGCAGCTCCCATTGGCCATAGGGTTCCCAGACAATGGGAGCTGCGGGGGCAGCGTTCAGAGCCCACTAGCTGCCCCAACATGTAGGAGCTGCAGCGGGGACATGCCGCTGCTTCCAACCCCACTCCCTGGCTGGAGCACCAGAGCGGGGCAAGCCCTGGACCTCGCTCCCCGGCGGGAACTCAAGGTCTGGATTAAAACGTCTGGAGGTCTGGTCTACACTGAAGTGCTACAGCAGCACAGCTGTAGCATTTTAAGTGTTGATGGAGACTATACCAGCACAGCTATGTTGCTATACCGCCATAACTCCATAGTGCAGACATAGCAGACACCAATTGGTTTTTCTACTGCTATAGGAATTAGGGCTGTCAAAAAAATTAATAGTGATTAACTGCACTGTTAAACAATAATAGAATACTATTTATTTAAATATTTTTGGATGTTTTCTACATTTTCAAATATATTGATTTCAATTACAAAACAGAATACAAAGTGTATGGTGTTCACTTTATATTTATTCTTGATTACAAATTCTTGATTACAAATATTTGCACTGTAAAAAACAAAATAAATAGTATTTTTCAATTCACCTAATACAAGTACTATTGTGCAATCTCTATTATGAAAGTTGAACTTACAAATGTAGAATTATGTACAAAAAAACCTCCGTTCAAAAATAAAACAATGTAAAACTTTTAGACCCTCCAAGTCCATTCAGTCCTACTTCTTGTTCAACCAATCACTCAAAGAAGTTTGTTTATATTTGCAGAAGATAATGCTGCCTGCTTCTTGTTTACAATGTCACCTGAAAGTGAGAACAAGCATTTGCATGGCACTGTTGTACCCGGTGTCACAAGATATTTACATGCCAGATGCACTAAAGATTCATATGTCCCTTGATGCTTCAACCACTATTCCAGAGGACATGCATCCATACTGATGACTGGTTCTGCTCGATAATGATCCAAAGCAGTGTGAACTGATGCATGTTCATTTTCATCATCTGAGTCAGATGCCACCAGCAGAAGGTTGATTTTCTTTTTTGATGGTTTGGGTTCTATAGTTTCCGAATCAGAGTGTTGCTCCTTTAAGACTTCTGAAAGCATGTTCCACACCTCATCCCTTTCAGATTTTGGAAGGCACTTCTGATTCTTAAATCTTGAGTCAAATGCTGTTGCTATCTTTAGAAATTTCGCATTGGTATCTTCTTTGCATTTTGTCAAATTTGCAGTGAAAGTGTTCTTAAAAAGAAAATGTGCTGGGTCGTCATCCAAGACTGCTATAACATGACATATATGGCAGAATGCAGGTAAAACAGATCAGGACACATAAAATTGTCCCCCAAGTAGTTCAGTCAAAAATTTAATTAATGCATTTTTTTTTTTAAATGAGCATCATCAGCATGGAAGCATGTTCTTTGGAACGATGGCCAAAGCAGAGGCATATGAATCTTTAGCGCATGTGGCACGTAAATATCAACACCAGCTACAACAATGCCATGCAAATACCTGTTCTCATTTTCAGGTGACATTGTAATTAATAAGTGGACAGCATTATCTCCTGTAAATGTAAACAAACTTGATTCTCTTTGCGATTGGCTGAATGAGAAGTAGGACTGAGTGGACTTGTACGCTCTAAAGTTTTACATTGTTTTGTTTTTGAGTGCAGTTATGTAACAAAAAAACCCTACATTTGTAAGTTGAACTTTCATGATAAAGAGATTGCACTACAAAATACTATTTCTTTTATCATTTTTACAGTGCAAATATTTGTAATAAAAATAATATAGAGTGAGCACTGTACACTTTGTGTTTTGTGTTGTAATTGAAATCGATATATTTGAAAATGTAGAAAAACATCCAAACATATTTAATAAATTTCAATTGGAATTCTATTGTTTAACAGTGCGATTAATCGCAATTTTTTGTGTGTTAATCGTGATTTATTTATTTTTAGTTAATCGTGCGAGTTAACTGTTATTAATTGACAGCCCTAGTAGGAATACTACCTCCCCCAATGACAGCAGTTATGTGGAAGGAAGTATTCTTCCATTAACATAGCTCCCTCTATACTAGGTCATCATAGCTACCTACCTTGGTCAGGGGTTGTTCCCTCCCACCCACACATCCCTGACCAAAGTAGCTATGTCGGCCTAACTTTTAAATGTAGACCAAGCTTAAGGTCCACACATGAGTTATACCACTTTAAGTATATCAGTATGTAAAGTGGTACAACCCCCCATAATGCGGATGCAGTTATATCAGTATATATGTGTTCATACTGGTATAGCTTATCCCCCCTTCCCATATGGAAGAAAGCTAGATTGGTAGAAGCACATTTATACTGGTATAATTGTGCCCATACTAGGCCCTGTACCTGGATAACTATATTATTTAAAAAAAAAAATCACATCCCTAATTGACATATTTACACTGATAGAAATCCTGTGTGTAGACCAGGCCGAAGGGAATTTAAGCTCATGTCATTTACTCACCATGAGCCAAAAAAGGTAGAAGCCAAAAAAGGGAAGGTGTAAAAAAGGAGATGCTCCCCTCCCATATACCACTTTTCTACACTTCCAGACCGTGGGTGTAGATTAGATTAATTTAAACTCAGGTTCCTTTAAACCTACTTATACCGCACCCATGATTTGTCCCAACAGGTCCTTTTGGATGTTTTCTTTGTTTATACTAACAGCTAAAACTTGCTTGCCTTACTCAGCCAAGAGGCCACAGTGAGTGCAGGATAGAACTACTTGAATGAGTAAGGCAAGATAAAATTTGACCCAAAATAATAAATAAGTAAATGTAAACATTACATAAAAATCAGCACTGAAATTAAATCAACCATGAATCAAAATAAAAACATGGTAAAAGTTGTTATAAAATAGAGGCATACCGATTAGCAAACTCAGAAGTCTCTGGACCTTTGAACTCACCCCCACAACTCTGTATAATCCTTGGTCATTTATACCTATTGAGGAAGAAAACAGATCAGCCACAGGATTCAAATATACAGCAAATAAAATTTTAAAAAAAACTTTCAAATGCTAAACAAGAAGTTTTCATCGAAGTTGCATTCACCACATTGTCACTCGTCACTACGACAAGAATACACTGCAAATAAAGTATCTGTCTACAATCCCCTTTTTTGCTGTCCATTAAAATAAATCCAAGCTAAATAAAATGTTGGTCTTCAGGAAAAAGGTGCATGCACATTTTTTCCAATGCACTGACAGATCCTTTAGGAGTTTGTGAATAGTTTTTTCCCCCCTGTTCTACGAACTCTTTCCTAAAAACTCAAACCAAACTTTTTTCACAGCATCATTCCAACCTACTGTGCTCCCCACACTGGGTATACCCAGAGGAACCCAACTTCAGGACTGAGGCCAGAAGTTTCTCTCCTGTCCTTTTTGTGGGGTGCAACCTCAACAGCCAGATGAGCATCCATAGTCTCCCGCTATCCTAATTTACTCAGCTCTGGAACATGGACACACTGGATAACTTCTCTTGTTCCCCATTCTCATTTTCTGTATTGCCACTGATTGTTGCTCATATTCCATCCAACCCCACTACCCTTCCATTGCAACAATTTAGCTGCCCAGCCTCACTCAACATGCCATTATGCTGCTCACTTTCCTTTCACCCCCCTTCTCTTTCTTCCCCTTTGCCCCTTCCCCCTCTATTCAGTCCCTTTTCACTCCAACATTCCCTCTCTCCCCTCACTGAAAGCTCACATAACCACCCTCCAAAAAACTAAGATTTTTTTAGCATAAATAAAAATGTAAAGAAGATCAAAAAAGTAAAAAAAACAGACGTTTTATGCCCACCATCACACTGATCACATTGCTTGTATGTTGAATCCCTTTACCCCACCCTTTTTTACATGTCTGTATACAACATAGCACAATAGGGCTGAGAACCTGATTGAGACTTTGGGGCTCTCATGCAATCCAATTTACAATAACAAGCTCGGTACTTCCTGGTTTCATATGGACCTAGAAGTGGAAATACAGAAATGCCCCAAGGTATGTATAATGTGAGAACAATCTTTATTTTCTCTTTGTAACTACAGGTGAGGCTTTTATTGTTCATATTTTTATTATTATTACTAAAAAATACAACATACAGACAAATAAGACCTGTGGAGAACTCCCAGATTCAACAACAGATGGTTCCAACACAGAGCAAAAGAAAAAACAAGCAAAACTAGTCAAATAATGGAAAGCTTATACCTGAGTATTAGATAAATATCTTGAAAAATCATAAGTATCATTTACATTAAATATTATTCTTAATGAATTACTCTAGCAGCTTCACAAATTAGACACCACCCCCTAGTATACTCATTGGTCAAAACATCTTGACATTTGAAAAGTAAAGGGACTTCTAAATTTTCTTCTTCTTCTTGGGCTTCTTATTGTCTAGATGGCCACAGATCTAATGATATTATAACGTGAATTTACATATACAAAAAGTAACTTCCCATACTTCTCGGTTTTCCAGAGTCCCATGTTTAAGATTAAGATCACAACCACACATGTACTACATACCACTTAGAAAATTGCCAGCAGTAAACAATTAAAATAATTTCTGACCCACCCAAAACTAGGAAGCACTGGAAATCTTGGGGGACTGGAGAGGATGCAAAGTAAAGAGCAGTTCCTGCTTGAATTTCCCTTGGGATTCCCTGAACTCCAGCCCAAAGATGTATAGATCTCTCATAAGAATATCCAACTTTCTAATGCTTTGCCAAATGGCACTAGGCCTTTTTGCATGAGGATCCAACTTTAGTTTCTAGTGCTGCAGAACAAAGCTTCTGCATTGTATGCAAGAAACAAGGAAAAGTTGAAGCAACATTCTTACAATCAAATCTATCTTATTGTTTTTGCTCATCTCAGAAGTTCAAGCTGTCAGGTTGTATATTGATTTACTGCACTGCTAACATTAAAACTAGTAAGAACAAAATTGTGCTGACTCAAAAAGTATTGGTACCTTAGGCTTAAAAATAATTTAGGACAAGCCACAGCAACCCTTGTTTGGTTTTAAAAACAGATGTACTGCTGTGAAGTGTCTGAAATGACAGTAATATTGAAACTAGAATGCCACTTTAGCAATAGTAATCACTCTGCACTGGTAATTACTATCAGATAATTGATCAAGTTCAAATTCATCAACCTGAAAGAAGCAGAGCTAATTGCTAATGCATAATGAGAGGTGCAGAGGGGAATTAATGCTTCTCAACACCGTTTTTATTTTAATGAAATTTTAAATAAAACAAACACAGTTTAAAATCATGAGATTTCAAATCTGAAAGTTTAAATGCTGCAGTGTACCTGAGACTGATAACTGTGGAAAATGTTTTCCTAATCACGGAGGGATTGACAAGGTGATTTATTTTAGCGCGTTAGCTTATTGCCAACTAGAATACAAATTCTGATTGGTTCAGCTAGCAGTAGTAGCCTTTGAACCAAGCACTATTAACAGCTTTGAGAGCTTCAAGGCTCCACAGTGCATATTCTAATTCTTTTTATATTTACATGAATTATGGGTGACTGGCTCTCAGAATACCAGGGCTTGACTTGGACACATATGGTTTGCTAGGCATGCCAATAAACAAATTTATTATAAGTAAAACAAGTCCCCCTGTCTCAAATGTATGCCATAGCAGGCAGGGTGTGTCTACCAACAACGTACATCTTAGATTACTTTCTTTTTATACATATTGCTAATGTGGGCTATTAATATAGCTGCAGAAACAACATGTTTTACTTATGTTTTCTGTCCAATTATGCACTACCGATGTGCTCACACACGCATACTGACAAATCAAGGTAATACCAGGTTGTTCCTATGGGAAGGTTCCCTATTTTCTCACTAGTGAAACAAAAATTCTTACTGAGGAAAAACTGAGATGACAGCTCACTGCTGCCATCTGTCCCTACATCTTAGAATAGGTGCTGCCGCAGTACCAATTACTAACACAGTGGAAATTTGTTATTAACCCTTAGCACTGGCATTTTACAGAATGCCACCCTAATGAGTGCTCAGAGGAAGTACAGTCTCTCTCTCTCTCTCTCTCTCTCACACACACACACACACACACACACACACTTTTTCCTATTGGAAGAACAGCACTCTGATGTTTCTATAATCTTTTCTCTCTCATTTTTATTATCAACTAAGGTGCTGAACTGTAAATAATGGAATAAAAACATCCAGTCTTGCTCTCAGACAGAGTATATGGTTGAAAATCCCAGAGTTGTGCTCATGCTCAGAGAAAAATGAGCCCACAGAGTTTTTAAAATATAATGCTGATTTAATAGCTCAAGTTTTCTAATCTAGTAAATTAGTAAATATCCTTACACATCAGCTCACAAGAATTCTAGTCTACTAGCTACTACTACTTTTAATTGAAGTAGTTTTTTAATTCAAAGTGAATTATTTTCTTTCAGATTGATAAAATTAACAAACTGAGAAAATCATTCAGCCATTGACAATTTAATGCTCAATATGTTTTCATTTTCTTTTTTTTTTCTTTGCATACCAGAGTTTTCTGCTATGACATGACAAGACTATTCTCAGTTTCCACCCACACTAGACTGTCCTCTCTTTCCTCCCACACCAACCTCACACCCATTATGATTAAAAGAGATAAAACATGGCATACAGACACAGACTCTGAGGAGCATCTGTCTTCTATTTTCTTTTATTGAACATTACTTCCTTTAGCAACTTACTGTAAAATATTCACAGTAAAAGTTGTTATAAGGTTGAATTTAGTGCATCTTCTCTTACCTAGGTATAAAATCTGGGGGTTTGAAGGGTAATAGTTTTCCTCATATTATTATTATAAAGGTACATCAAGGAGACTTGCCTAAATTCTTTCACCACTTATGCTCATACAGCTCAACAGACATCAGTAGAGATGTATGGGTGTAACAGTGCAGAGACTGATCTTCTATCCCTATGAGAGCAACAGGACATGTCGTACACAAGGCAAGATTTTGTTTTCAAATACATCTTAAGTATGTTCAGAGTTAAGGTGACCAGATGTCCCGTTTTTAAAGGGACAGTCCCGTTTTTTGAGACTGTCTTCTATAGGCACCTATTATCCCCCTCCCCATTATCCCTGTCCCGTTTTTTCACAGGTGCTATCTGGTAACTCTATTCAGAGTCAATGAACAGATAAACAATAACCAGGGCTTTGTATACTATTTCCAAGTCATGTTCCCTTAGGCCACAGCTGGGTGGATTGTGGAATGCTAGATAGAAGTCATATTGCCTACACCCACACCTGAATTCCCCACCCTACAAATAAAAGTGAATATTTATTTTTGAAAACTCTTAATAAAATTAAAATAATAAAGAAATATTTTGTTTTCACTAGTAACTATCATTGTGCAGGTTATCTACTAGAGAGAGAGAGAGAGAAACTACATTAAAAGAACATTAGAATAAGGTTGCAAAGTCAAGCACTCCAAAGTTAGGAAATGCCAGAATTCATTCAGCCCCTATGTGTGTATGCATAACAATATAACTTCAATTACATGATCACAATATTTTTTCTGGAGGACTATGCATCATTCAGTGCACTAGGGATGAATGAGGGTTGTGTAGTAAAGAAGACGGTTGGCTGCAAGACTCCTGCTTCAGGTGTAGCATTTGCTAACTTTTGAGTTCTTGACTTTGCAACCTTACTATTACTTTAACATAGTTTTGAGTGTGCAGTTTTCTAGTTTAAAAACAAAACGCATCACATGGCATCATATTGACAATCATATGGCTCATCAGCAGATCCACCACACAGATCCCTGCAACTTGAGCCAACTGTTCACATGATAGCAGGAGTAACAGCATTAAAGGCGGATGGGACACTTTGCCAGTGGGTTACACAGATATTTGAGGACAGCAGAGGAATGGTGAGCCTTGGGAATTTTGGGTTCCATTCTGGTTCTGCAAGGGAGTGAACTCTACTGGGCACAGACACGTCTGCTCATTTTCCCCAAGCTTGACCCCTTTCGCACCTTCCCCATGCAACCTGTCCTTGTTCCAGTCCTGGTCTTCCCCACCCCAAGATCCTCATCCTAGTCATACTCGCCTCACCTAGCCACCCCCAGTATCCACTCCTCGGGCTTCTCATCCCAGTCCCAATCGCCTGGGCCAGCAAGTCCTAATCTCACCCCTCTGGACCCCACATCCCAGTCCCAGTCTCCCTTCCTCCCCCAGCTGCTCATCTGATTTCCCTTCGCAGCCTCCCATCATCCCCAGCCCACATTTACATTCTTTATCCCACTGCTTCCCAGTCCCAACTCTTACCACATATGCCCCCAGCTCCTTGTCTCAGTCTCTTTGCCCAGCCAATCCCAGTTCTCCCCCCTTCACACTGTTCCACCTCAGATCCATCTCCACTTCCCACTGGGTTCTCAGTCCCAGTCTTCTCATCCCAATCTATTTCCACCAACAGGTACAGCTCTTGTCCACTCTCCATTCGAATCAGACATCCTCCTCCTCCACCCTTCTTAGGCCCAGCAGAGGGTCACTGAGAGGACAGTAGAGACAGTCTTCCTGCTCTCAGTTCAGGTGTCCAGACCTGGACCCAGTACAGCCAACTATAGCCCAAAGCTGAAATTGCAGGGAAAGTCCACTGATTCTAGGGCTGGAGCATGCTCATTGTAGATGGAATTGTTAGAGATTTTAGTAACTAAAATCTGAGAAATATCTACTCAGCACGTATGAACTGTGATTTTTCTAAGGCTTACAACTTGCCCAAATTTGGGCAGATCTTCACAAGGATGGCAAAAGGCAAATTCCTGACACACAGGACGCCCCTGCCAAATTTCAAGTTCTTGCACCAATGCATGGGGGTACTAGAGCTTTTCAAAGAAAAGGTCTAGAATTTTTTAACACAGGCAAAATAAGGTATTTTTTCCTAGCCTTGACCTCTGAAAGAGCTGAACCGTTTTAACGGAAATGCTCAATAAATCAATCAATCCGTTGGCCTGAGGCACACACCTGGCATGAAAAAATTTATTTTGGCAAAGTTATAAAAACAGAAAACAGGGTTTTATAAGGTCAGGCAACCCTAGTAATAGGCCAGGCTACCAGCCCCGTTTCTAAGGCCTGGTCCCCACTAAGCCCCCACTTCGGACTAAGGTATGCAAATTCAGCTACGTTAATAACGTAGCTGAATTTGAAGTACCTTAGTCCGAACTTACCGCGGGTCCAGACGCAGCAGGAAGGCTCCCCCAGTCGATGCCGCGTACTCCTCTCGGCGAGCTGGAGTACCGGCGTCGACGGCGAGCACTTCCGGGATCGATCCCAGAACATCGATTGCCTGCCGCCGGACCCTCCGGTAAGTGAAGACGTACCCAAATAGTAACATAATTATATAACATATATGTAATTGTTGATAAAGTAGCTACTGCCTCACTCCTGTGGAGAAAAGTATGCGTTTTAAGACTTATTTACATTTTATCAGCATTTTTTTTTTTAAAGATGACACACATAAATCTAAGAGCTTAATCTAGATCAGTGGTTTTCAACCATTTTTGATTTGTGGAGCCCTAGATTTCGAATGGAGGTGCAGACCCCTAGAAAATTTCAAATGGAGGTGCAGACCCATTTGAAAATCTATTGTCTATATATATAGTTGAATTCTGTTCAGTCAGTTTTCAATCTAAGTCTTTCACAAACCCCTTAGATATAGTCCCATGGACCCCCAGGGGGTCTGCGGACCACAGGTTGAGAATCGCTCATCTAGATAACTAAAATAATTAAAATGATGGATTAAGTTAAGGAAATCTGACAACTATTTGAAAAACTATAAAGCCCAAAATAATGTCAGTTCAGATCTGGTCTAACCTTTAATTATTCAAAAACCTATCAGAGTGGATTGATGTTAAAATCCAAGTGAAAACAGTTCCTGAGTTTATTCTTTGTTATTAATGGTTAAGTTCCCAACTTCACAAAACTACTTGTATTCATCAGTAATATAGTATTCTAAGTACACAACTAGAAAACTTTGCTTAACAAGAAAGACCTTGCACTGACAGCAGATGTGACAGAACTACTGTTTTACACCACTGTATCCTGAAAGTAAGGAAAGTGATATAACGGAAAGATACTAATCTTCTGCTCTGTGCAACATTAGTCACTCAAATATAACTAGCAGCTCCAGTATGGAAAAACTAGACAACTCCAATTCCAATTGCTCTTTTCACATTAAGAAGAACAAATAGAGGGTAGTAAATTATCCATTTTCATTTAATCTTCTCTTAAAATGGAAAACATGAACACATATTAGTTTATTTCACTGTCCTGCCTCACTCAATATTGTTCTCTTGAAAGAAAAGTCTAAATAAATGTTATACCTTTTAAAAAATTAAAAGCTTAATTAGCAGCATATTAAATAAATAATTAATGGAGATGTCCTATGTCCTAGAACTGGAAGGGACCTTGAAAGGTCCTCAAGTCCAGCCCCCTACCTTCACTAGCAGGACCAAGTACTGATTTTGCCCTAGATCCCTAAGTGGCCCCCCTCAAGGATTGAGCTCACAACCCTGGGTTTAGGAGGCCAATGCTCAAACCACTGGGCTATCCCTCCAGCCCCTTATAGCCTGCAGAGTGAGGAGTAGGAACTACACACATCCCTAGATGGTGTCTCATTAACCACTGGCAAATATCTAACCTCCTTTTTACAAACACTGGGATTGCATGAGGCCTGACACAAAAGTGAGGAAGAATATACCTACAAACCCTCCACCAGGGTTTCCTCAGGAGTACAGGACACATTTTCATATACACAAGAGCAGATCCCCCTTAGACCCAACAAACCCTGCATCTTGGCAGTGGGTTAGACGAAATGACCCTTGCAGTCCCTTCTAACCCTATGGTTCTATGATTCTACCTGGAGCACAGCAACAGCTAAAATGGAAGGGCTGGACAGATGCTTCTTCTGCATCTGGCCTCAATCTTCTCCAAGCTCTATAATGGGCCGGTGAAACTTTATATCAGATCCGCACTCATACACCACTCCCACCTTCTTGTCATCTTTGCCCTTCCCTCATGAGCGGCAGCACTTGGCTGAGTTGATCATTACCTCGTGTTTCAACGGCACTGATGCATTTTCTCAGAATTGTGAATCCTATCTTATCCAACTGTGCACCTAAAAGGAAAAACAGTTTGAAAAGGTTTTAAGAACAATTAATAATATATTTGTCTTTTTCTCACAGGTGGCATGTCTACACAAACACTATATGCAGCAAGCTGGGGTGTAAATTTACAGCGTTCCAGCATGCTTCACACCAGCTCTCTGTGTGGATTTTGCTGCTATGCCCTACACATTCCCTAATGTATTTTCACCTACTTCTGTTTCAAACCACAGTATGTCAACGCACACTAGGGAACTTTTTGCGCACATCAGCAGGGACCACTGAACAGTTAGTGTGCAGCATGTTGAAATGCTGCAGATTTACACCCCTGCTTGCTGTGCAGGAAGTGTTCATGTAGACATGCCCAAAGATACAAAGATTCAAGGCCAATCTAGTGCTGACTTTCTTGGTAGAAAGTAATATTGCACCTAACCCTACAGACAGTGCTCACTCAGGCAAAATTGAGGAAGAATTGTGGGAGTAGGCACCTTTGTTATATCTTCTAGAGAAATTTTTCTTTTTTGCTCTCTTATATTTGTACAGAACCAATCCTGCAAGCACTTGCTACCAGGTGTAGTGATTTCAGGGAGTCTATTCACAGTAGTAAGTCTTTGCAGGATTGGACCCGTAATTAGACACATATGTTGGCAGGAGAAGAATGTGGTTTAAGATTATTTACTGCAAAGCAAGACAGACTAATCCTAAAAAATTCTCAGCTCATTGGAACACGTCCTTCAGGATCTTGAATATTTGAATACTTGCTATATGCACTGTAGATTTTTGAAGGAAAACCCCAATTCTTAAAACACACCCATAAAACTAAAATGCACACAGAGACTTTCTAATGGAAACTCCTCAACTAACAGCTAAAAAGACAATAACTTTCCTGTCTTGTTTAAATAATTCCATGATATTCCCTTTTAAAATAAAGTGAAAATCATATGAAGAGAAGTCTCATGTCAACTTGTTGTTTATTAAAGGATATGACTACAAAAAATCAATTTTTAAGCTATACATTTTAAAAATTATTTTTGAACAATTTCTTGAAATGACCTCCCGAAATTTGAAATATTAAAATATTTTAATATTTCAAACTTCGGGAGGTCATTTCAAGAAATTGGTTTATCAAAAATCATTATTTATAACTTTTTAGCTTTAAATATTTTGACAAACCTAAAAAATTGATCCTCTTTTTTAAAAAGTATTATGTATAATGAATAAAATCTAAGAAACTTAACCCAATTGGAGAAGAGAGTACTTGTACAGAACACATTGCAATGCTTCTCCCCTATGGAATCATTCTATCATCCCCAACAAAGTACGTCCTACACAACCCAAAAGAATTTCCCCACCACAGATTTAGGACATGTATGTGCATCTCTTCATGGCAGCTGATGAATGGGCTACCTAAAACCTAATGTATTCACAGGATAATACCCAAGGACCAACTATCTTTGTGACACTGTTTAATCCCTTTTCTACTAAATCAAAACTCATGTTCCAAAGCCACATTTCACCTAACCATCTGGTCTTCACCTTCACTGTTGGCTTGATCCTACACCATGAAAGCTTATGGAAGTTTTTCCATCCACTTAAGTGGGAGCCCAATAAAGCCCAGGATTACAAAGAACACATGCATTAACTCCTGAATGCAAGGAGAATAGCTGCCTTCATTGTTGGGATGGTGTCAAATTATTATGAATTATTGTGATTGATATGAATGAATGTGGTGAACATGAGTTTGGTGTGGCTTGATACATTTGAATTTGCTAGAGGATTCTGGGAGCAGGGTTCTCTTAGCATCAGACAGTTGGCATGGAAATTTATTGAGAGTGATCAGAGGCTCTATCTCTGTGTGTGTGTTTCAAAATGGAACTTTGGAACATATAAGCCAATGGCCAGCTCACCAAGTAAAGAAAACGCAAAAACACGCAATCAGTGAGGTTGGCACAGGCTGACCCAGGTCAAAATGACCCTTTAAGATGGCACCACACTTAAGAGCTCAAGTGAATGATTGAGGAGAGGATAAACATCAACTGATATTTGGTCTCTATCCATTTTGCAGTCCCTTCTAAAATATTAATTAGAAAAACTAGTAATGAATAGGGCTGTCAATTATTTGCAGTTAACTCACGCGATTAACCCAAAAAAATTAATCATGATTAATCGCAGTATTAATCGCACTTAAACAAGATAATACTACTTAAAATTTATTAAATATTTTGGATGTTTTTCTACATTTTCATATACATCTTGTATTCTGTGTTGTAATTGAAATCAAAATTTTGATTATCATTTTTACAGTGCAAATATTTGTAAACAGAAGAAATAGTATTTTTCAATTCACCTCATACAAGTATGGTAGTGCAACCTCTTTGCCCTGAAAGTGCAACTTACAAATGTAGGTTTTTGTTTTGTTTTGTTAGATAACTGCACTCAAAAACAAAACAATGTAAAACTTCAGAGCCTACAAGTCCTACTTCTTGTTGAGCCTATCACTAAGACAAACAAGTTTGTTTACATTTACAAGAGATAACACTGTCCCCTTCTTATTTACAATGTCACCAGAAAGATATGCTAAACATTCATATGCCCCTTCATGCTTCGGCCACAATTCCAGAGGACATGCTTTCATACTGACGATGCTAGTTAAAAAAAAACATGCGTTAATTAAATTTGTGATACAACTCTTCAGGGGAAAATGGTACATCCCCTGCTCTGTTTTACCCGCATTCTGCCATATATTTCATGTTATGCCAGTCTTGTATGATGACCCAGCACACATTGTTCATTTTAAGAACACTTTCTCTGCAGATTTGACAAAACACAAAGAAGGTACCAATGTGAGATTTGTAAAGATAGCTACAGCACTCAACCCAAGATTTAAGAATCTGAAGTGTCTTCCAAAATCTGAGAGGGACTAAGTAGGAAGTATGCTTTCAGAAGTCTTAAAAGAGCAACACTCCAATACGGAAACTACAGAACCCGAACCACCAAAAAAAAAAAAAAATATCAACATTCTGCTGGTGGCATCTGACTCAGATAATGAAAATGAACATGCCTCAGTCCACACTGCTTTGGATTGCTATCGAGCAGAACCCGTCATAAGCACAGATGCATGCCCCCTGGAATGGTGATTGAGGCATGAAGGAACATATCAATCTTTAGCACATCTGGCACGTAAATATCTTGCAACACTGGCTACAAGAGTGCCATGCAAATGCCTGTCCTCACTTTCAGGTGACATTGTAAACAAGAAGCAGGCGGCATTATCTCCTGCAAATGTAAACAAACTTGTTTGTCTGAGCGATTGGCTGAACAAGAAGTAGGACTGAGTGGACTTGTAGGCTCTAAAATTTTACATTGTTTTATTTTTGAATGGAGGGGTTTTTTGTACATAATTCTATATTTGTAAGTTCAATTTTCATGATAAAGAGATTGCACTACAGTACTTGTATGAGCTGAATTGAAAAATACTATTTCTTTTGTCTTTTTACAGTGCAAACACTTGTAATCAAAAATAAATATAAAGTGAGCACTGTACACTTTGTATTCTGTGTTGTAATTGAAATCAATATATTTGAAAATGTAGAAAACATCCAAAAATATTTAAGTAAATGGTGTTCTATTTGAACAGTGTGATTAATCATGATTACTTTTTTTAATCGCTTGACTGCCCTAGTAATCAAATGCACACAGGGCATATTTCTGGGACATGTGACTCCTCTGAGAACAAGAGGTATAAATGCTAAGCAGACTTTGTTAGTTCACCAATTAACATCGGAAGAGGTCTGTGATGCTGTAAGACAGAAGGTCTCAGGGTAGACAACAACCTGCTACGAGGGGCTTTTGAACCAGAGGGCCTTGGGGTAACCAAGACCCTGCTTCGGGAGACATTTGACAGACAAAGTAACCGAGGAGAGGAGAGGAGAAGAGTTGAGTCTCCCTCTAGGACTGGTAGCTATACCTGCTTTGTTTGCCAATCAAGATACTGTGTAAGGCCAACATAGTTACTGAGGGTTTATGATTGGGGAATTGAGGCTTATTAGGAAGAGGTATTATACAAAATTTTACTGCTTGTGTAATTCTTTCTCCAATAAACTGCTGTGCATTGAGCAAACTGAATCAGAATTTTCACTGATACTTATAACAATCTGCCCAGCTGTGGGCCATTAAATATCCATTTCAACATTCATCACTCCTCTTTCTCCACAGGAAAGGGCAAACAGTTTAAAAATATATATATTTTTTTAATGCCAGGTTATGGTTCGGATTTTGAGGACACACAAGTTTTGATTCTCACTGCTACATTAACTCACTACACTCTTGCAGACCTGCGGTATTTTATACTACTATATAAGAAGTTAGCCTTTATGCTCTTTTTATATATGTGTGCAAAGTGACTAAGTTATTGTTTCCAATGCCATATTGTTGAATTTTCTGACTTCCATACAAATATAATCTCAACCAATAAAGTTTTGTTATGTTTAGAAGTAAGTTATACCCTTAAGGCACTTATAGAATGAAATGAGTTGACATGAACAACGGGATAGTTTTTCTCAAAGCAGGTGTGAACTTAGACCTCAACACTACACACATCTATGCCTGTGCTTAATTTTACTCCTGTGAGAAGAACCATTAACTTCTGTGGGACAACTTATGTTAGTCAAGTTAAGTATATGCATACGAGTTTTCAGAATCGGAGCTTAAGTGATTAAAATTGAGTTCTTTTTAAAAGTGTGTAATCTGTTGTAAAACATTTTTATCTATGCATTTCAGAATTAAAATGTTAAATATTTAATTGATATTTATTTATTAAAATATTAACATGTTAATATAATAAATATTAGTTTTAATGTAGCTCCAGGTACTTACTTCCCTCCTGTCTTGTGTTGGCTCTATACAAATTGATGAACAGCTAATAGAAAAATACAAAAATGTAAGCGCTCTGCAGTAAAAAAGTTCATAAGAACAGAATCAAGATGCTTCCTGCTTAATGCCAAGTAGGCACAACTGCAGCACTTGATTGCTAACAAATACTGGGCCTCACTTGATACAGTCAGTACATTAGCCTAGAGGGGCTCGAATAACAATTTCCAGCCCATGGGAAATTCAGATATTTGACATTTGTGTTTGTTCCAAAGAGCATGAAGAGTCAAACCATCTAAACTTTTTGTGGAACGACACATTTCATTTTGGGTTAGATCAACATTAAACTGAAACCACTTAAGCTGCCACAGAGCCTTACAAGAGTTGTAGTTAAGATGCCCCACACCCTCATTTTTCTCTATGGGCAGACTCCCTGGCTGCCCGCTGTGCACTCATGAAAGATGTAATCAAGCCAGGAAGCTCATCCTAGCGAGGACATTGAAGGCATGGGGCACTTGTATTACATCTCCCAAGTGGCACCATGGCAGCTGAGGTAGATGCAAATTTTAATGTCAACCCAAACAAACAACATTTTTCAATTAAATTTTCCAGAACTATTGGCAACTCAACATTATATATATATAATTATATAAAACACTGCGGAATTCTGTTGGGTAAATCAAGTCCTGTGAATTATAACTGGAACATATTCAAGGCTTTAAAAAGTTTTTGCTATGGATGCTGACAAAAAAGGGGTAAAGAAAAGAATTTTTAAATTCACGGGAACTATCTGTTGTGACACAGAAATAATACTACCTACTATCAAGTCCCACTATTCTTGGCTTACGAAACCTAAACCCTAGATCTGAATACTCAAGTATAACAACACGAATAATCCAGTGCTGTATCCTAACTCTCCAAACTCCATTCCATTTCTAAAGTATTTTGATATGAACCAAAAACAGGACAACTACTCAATCATGAACAGATTAAAAAATAAAATCATTTTCAAGACAGACCTATTATTTTCCAGTGTACAGTACATTTTTAAGCTTACAGAAATATTGTCACATGACTGCTCATGCAAGTCTATTTGAATAGAGTAGATTGTTATCAGGGAAAGTGATTAAGTCTACACTAGCCATTACCTAGAATAGTGATATAATCATTGTAATGGAATCTATTTATAAAATTAATTTTTGCTGTTACAAAAATGAAACACCACAGCTTCACCACAATCTCTACAGATCTCTATCCTGTGCTAATGTTTTATTTCACGGATGTTCTCCTTCAGCAAATCTATCATTTTGCAGAGCTATGTAAACCTGGTATATAAGGACTGCAGAAAACATGATCATCATTACACTATAACTGTATGTGAAAAAATAATCCATATATTATATTCTTACAGTTTCTTTTCCATCCAAGACTTCCATCCACAGCTTCCTGTCCTCCTCAGAAAATGCCTGCATGGTCACAGGAGTAACAGATCTACGGGAACACCAATAAAGGAAAATAACTACATTTGTCTTTTTATTAGCCAGTACATGTAATATCAATTTTGCCTCTTTTTGAATGGCACATCCCATCACCATCACAAAATTCACTGTCCAAGAACAAACTTCTTTTTTTTTTTGCTATATCTGCTATATTACAGAACATTGTTCACCCTTGAAATTGATGTATTGACAAATCAACTGTATCCCCAAAGTGAACAGACATTCTGCAAATTAGGCAGCCAGAAAAAAAAATAACAATCCATTATACACTATTTATTTAAAGTAGAAGCCCATTAATTCACCAAGAACTGAGAATTACTGAATTTTGTGAATTATAAGATATACACGATATATAAGATCAGGGCTATTGTACCAAAAAATTACTTTGTTAATTTATTTGAAATGTAGAGTTCAGTTTTAATTATTTGTGCCAATACTCTAGAGTATTCTAGTAAATATTCTATAGTGCATTTTATAAAGAGTAATTAAATCTTAATATAATACCTCATTACAAAATTCAGCTATTAAAATTTTCCTAACAAATGAAGAAAGTCTCAATTTTGGGATGTATAGATTAATAAATAGAGATTAGTGTAAATCTAACTTTTTTTTAATAGCGTATGAGGGAACTTTTAAAAATGAATAATTGTGAAGCTTAGTAAAGAAACCAAGTGCAAGGGAAGTTAACAGCTGCAATGAAGCAGGAGTGGTGATGCTGGTAATTATTTTCCTGCCAATTAAAAAAAGTGTATCACATTCACCCTGCCACTGAATACCATATTTATAAATATAATATGCCTCAATCCTTTTTATGTCTGCTTTCCAATTACTGAACTACATTTTGGTTTTCCAAATTAATTTCAGCATAGCACTGTGCAGATAGGAATTATGGTGCCCTGCTCCCTTGCTCAGTGCATCCCTTTGGATTACACATCAGGACAAAATACCCATAGAATCCAGGGATTCAAGATACTGTAGTAAATGGAAGCTTCCTACTTCAGTATTTTTTTTTTTAATTGTTCCTTCCTCTGAGCCAATGCTGGATGCAGGGGAGCTAATTATAATTATGGAAAGGAACTGCAAATGGCATAAACATTTCTCTTTAGATCTATTAAAGTGAGGGTACTATCATTGTGCATACAAGAGGTATCCTACTCTCCTGAAAAACACTGCTTCCCCCAGCAGGTGTAAAAATAAACCATAAAAAAAAAAGCCTTCTGTAGAACTTCATTAAATGTGTGCATCTTATACCCTTTGTGGCTAAACATAAGCAAATACATATATGAATAGAAGTAGTAAGATGGGGAGGAGGCAGACTTTCCAGGCCAAACAGGCTTTTCGGGTCTTAAACTGGCCATTTAATATTATTCAATTTCAACCATGCTAAATGTACAAAACTGAATAATTCTGCAGGGAAAGAAAAGCAGGGAAATGGCTGAACTAGCAAAAGGACCACATAATACTTCAATGTCTTCTCTTATCTCCATTTCATTAGTGAAAGTCAAAACCCAGTATATCACTTTTACATAATGCAAATGCTCCACCTCTTCACTGGAATTATAAAAGTGAAGTGAAAGCACTAAAACTGATCCACACACACACACTCTCTCTCTCTCAGCAGCATATCAGGAGAATCATCCAAGTTCTGTATTGGTATAAAGCTAGTCTAGGAGAGATATTTATTCCTTCCCCTCCTCCACAAAGGCTGTCTACATTTAAAGTTTCATTTCTTAACATTTGCCAGTATTATCACCACCTGTTAAACTACTGGAACATTAGTGCAGTCAGGGAACGTAGCCTACTCTAGAACGTCCGCCATTGCTACTTCTGGTGGAACCAAATCAACTGGTAACAATGCAGGAAACTTTCTGGTGGAACCAAATCAACTAGTAACAATGCAGGGAAAAAAATCTCTTGGCCAGGCAAGGTCTATTGCATCACCAGGGCATAAACTACAGTGATGAAAAGCCTATCAGGATGAACGAGTGTACAGTGGCTACAATATTTTTATGGAGAAGTGCAGGTATCACTACAAAGTCAAAAAAGTGTGCATGTTGCAGACATAGAAACAGTATGAAATAAGGAAATTTGTACTGTCCACTGTAAAAAGCAACAGAGGGTTCAGCCTAACACGGCTACCCCTCTGATATTATCTGTCCACTGATATTAAAAATGTTAAATACTCAAACTACTCACACCTTCCACTGTAATGACAAGTACATTAATGTTTAACTTTCTCAAGAAATTAGAGTACTTCAAAACGTTAAATAGATTCCCAAAGCACAGACCCATTCTTATGTTGTACATATACGAGAGTAGAAAAACATCAAACGTGACACGAGACATTAAATCGGAAGAATTGGTATCTATTTTTTATTAGCTTGAGGCAAGTTTTGGAGCCCATAAAACCTACAGCTTGGATTCTGAGTAAGGATAAAGGACAATCACAGCTTCTGATTTAAAAAAATGAGAGTTAGTTTCTTTCTAAGAGAGCTTTGAAAACAAACAGATGTCAATTGATTACTAAACAGGAGATTCTTTCCTAGAAATCATTGGTCACTCCTTGTATCCGAGCCATGGGGACACACAAAACCCATGACCAGTCTTTTGACTACTTTTGTGGAGGAGATGTCTGAGCAATACAAAGCAGTGCTGTCCAGACTGCTATTAATGAAGCTAGGGCAGCTGCTAAGCCCCTACGCCAGCTGAAACAGTGCCTCTACTGAGCAGCCAGCACAGCCTCTATCCACAAGGGGTACATGACAACATAAGAATGGCCCTACTGGATCAGACCAAAGGTCCATCTAGCCCAGTATCCTGTCCTCCGACAGCGGCCAATGCCAGGTGTCCCAGAGGTAATGAACAGAACACGTAATCATCAAGTGATCCATCCTCTGTCGCCCATTCCCAGCTTCTGACAAACAGAGCCTAGAGACACCATCCCTGTCCATCCTGGCTAATAGTCATCGATGAACCTATCCTCCATGAACTTATCTAGTTTTTTTTTTTACCCTGCTGTAGACTTGGCCTTCACAACATCCACTGGCAAGGTTGACTGTGCATTGTGTAAAAAAAATACTTCCTTTTGTTTGTTTTAAACCTGCTGCCTATTAATTACATTTGGTGACCCCTAGTTCTTGCATTATGAGAAGCAGTAAATAACACTTCCTTATTTTCTTACTCCACACCAGTCATGACTTTATAGACCTCTATCATATCCCCCCTTAGTCATCTCTTTTCCAAGCTGAAAAGTCCCAGTCTTATTAATCTTTCCTCATATGGCAGCTATTCCATACCCCTAATCATTTTTGTTGCTCTTTTCTGAACCTTTTCCAATTCCAATATAACTTTTTGAGATGGAGCGACCACATCTCCACACAGCATTCAAGATGTGGGCATACCATGGATTTACATAGAAGCAATATGATATTATTTATCCCTTTCTTAATGACTCCCAACAGTCTGTTCGCTTTTTTCACTGCTGCTGCACATTGAGTGGATGTTTTCAGAGAACTATCCACAACGACTCCAAGATCTCTTTCTTGAGTGGTAACAGCCAATTTAGACCCCATCATTTTGTATGTATAGTTGGGATTATGCTTTTCATATTAACCACTAAATCACGCTTAGAGAGCCCTGAAAATCATATCCACAGACCATTTCTGCGGATTGGTTACAGATACAAATTTTGTATCTGTGCAGGGCTCTAGTCATGCTGATTAATGGGGTGTTCCAGACACAAGGCACACTGGGAAGAGTCTCTACCCCAGGATATCCAATGATGCATCAGTGTAAAGGAGTTTGGGTTATGTTTGACCATCTCATCTGTAAAGCCGACCTCCAATATGCAGTTTAAATTAAGTATTTTGAAGCCTGAAACCCATAACTGGGAATTGATGAGACTCTCCTACATTCCAAGTAGCATTTCATACTAGACCTACTCCAGTCCAGTGCAGAGAGAGAGAGAGAAAACTGTTTAACCAATGGAATACATCTTTGACCAAGATGTATTTTTATTCACAATGCCCTTCTAAACTGGATTCTTCCACCCTGACACTGAATGAAGACCAGTTGAGGTGAAAAACATAAAATCTGACATATTTTAAAATATTAGATTTCTCTGATAGGCAAAGTGAGTTTCCTGAGTTTGAGATAACCTAGTAAAATGCAAATGGAGTCACACAGCAGCGATGGTTGCACCATTGTATGGGATGTATCATGCCCTGTAATGAAAAATTTGTACAGTAGAACCTCAGAGTTATGAACACATCGGGAATGGAGGTTGTTTGTAACTGTGAACAAAACATTATGGTTGTTCCTTCAAAAGTGTCCAACTTAACACTGACTTAATACAGTTTTAAAACTTTATTATGCAGAAGAAAAATGCAGCTTTTATATGTCATAATTTAAATGAAACAAGCACAGAAACAGTTCCCTTACCTTGTCAAATCTTTTAAAATTTTTCCTTTTTTAATATTTTATGTTTAAACACAGTATTGTACTGTGTTTGCTTTTTTCTTTTCTTTTTTGGGAGGTGTGGGGGGGAGGGGAGTCCTCTGCTGCTACCTGATTGTGTACTTCTGGTTCCAAATGAGGTGTGTGGTTGACCAGTCAGTTCGTAACTCTGATGTTTGTAATTCTGCGGTGTTACTGTATGTTACTTTTATGTTGCCTTTGCATGCCATAATAAGAATAAATTGCCTGGTTCTAACTTAGCCAAAATGCAGCTTTGTAATATGCCTTTCATTTCAGTGACCAGCATACAACAAATCACAAGAAACTGTAATTCTCCATGGGGTTCTTCCTTCTAATGTTGAAGTAACAGAGAACCCTGTGCATCTGAAATCCTCGCAGTGAGAGGCAGTATATAGAATCCAAGTTATTAACAACATTTAACCTGATGCTTTCTTTAGTGTATTTTACCAGCTTACCTGTCTGCAGCTTCTATGTCAAAACAGAAACGTCTGTCTATAGTATCCACATTTCTTTTGGTACAGCATGTAAGGAGGAAAACGTCCCCATCACCCTATAAACAAGAGATTTTTTTTTTAATATACTTTACGTAATAACAAATCCAAAGCTTCTGTAAGCCACGTGATGCAATCTGAATACGGTAAACCTATATTAAAGTAAAAGCAAAAGCTGGATTGAAACTGACATATGCAATGGAATTCAGTTATGGCTGCTATTCAGGTCTTTAAAATCTAAACGTGTTACTGCAGAAATTTAAAAAAACAAGGCTATTTTATACATCTGCAGCAATAGTGTGTCTTTTATTTGAAATTTGGTAGTTTAAATGAATAAAAACATTGTAATAAAATAATCAGAACTTTGCACCCATTGCAACATCAATGCAGACATATTGTAAGAGACACTTTCACTGCAACATTTTTCCTCGGACATGGTAATATTCCAAATTCCACTTTAAAGGGCTACAATTTAAGTAGTTAGGACAAAAAAGGGACTTACAGTACCATGAAATTTGACTTTTATAGCAGGTGTTATCTTCAAAACCCATCATGTGTTCATAGCACATTTGTAAACTCATCCTTATAGCATCCAAAAATCAAATGCACAAAATAAACTGTGACTGAATTTCAATAAGCTGCTGTATGATGCACTCTCCTGAATCAGAACATGCAGCCATTAGTTTTGTGTGGTGGACAGTATGTTATGCATTTTAATTAATTTTAACATTTCCAGATGCATGAAGCTTTGGTTTGAAATAATAAATTATACTGTGGAGTTCAAGAAGGAGAGATCTTCAAGAAGGAGAGATCTTCAGACAGAACAACAGGTTACATTTTTTTGGCTTAGCTGCCTTGCTGGTGTCTCTTCAGAAACCTTTTAGTGCATGATTACAGATTTCATTTGGTTAACTAAAATGGCCTATTACAGTCACAATAAGTTAGAGTGTAAATTTACAAAAGTGTCTATATGACTTGGGAACCTAAGTGCTATAGACTTCCATTAGCATTTATGCTCTGAAGTCATTTAGGCACTTATGAAAATTTTACCCAATACATTTAAAGAAATATGTTTTACAAGAATGATGAAAAGATCCTCCTCTCTACCAAGCATACATGGATATAATCTTCAATGGAGATCCAAGCCCTGGGGACTATTAAAACTAAACAGGACAAAAACAGGGCAGGATGCTGCATTTGGAGGAAGATTGACTAGGAGATCTAAAATGCCTCTCTCGTCTTCAAATTTATTATTTCCGTAACAAAAACATATTTCACTCATACTAATGCCGTCATTTAATGCCAGGTCCTGCAAGATGCTGAGTGCCCTCAATTCCCAATCACTTCAATGGGAATTAAGGGCATTCAGCATTCAACAGAGGACTGAGCCCTGAATGTTCTAGATGTTATCAAGGAAAGCTTAAATTATTTTTCTGATTGTCCGTGCAAATTACATTCCATTTTAAGAATTATTTAAAAGCCTCCTAACCTAACCCCCCCGCCAGCTCTCCTGTCTACGTGCCATGGAAAAAAAAATTGGATGGAGAGTATAAGTGAGAAACCTAATGCGACTGTACTTTCTCAATTCACACTTGGTTATAATCAGACTAAACTTTAAATCCCCTTAGTGAAAACCACACATTAAAGGCACATTAGGTGCATTGTAGCTCTCATATGTTCTCTATTTTTCCAAAACTAAGCAACTAAAACTTCTACAGAATCCTTATCTATTAAACCATTCCATTATTTGAGCTTAATGTCCTTAGAGGGCAAATTGTGAACTGCATGAAAAAGATATTTGACCTATCTTATCTAACATATCCTCTCATTTAGATACCGGGCATGAAGAAGTATAATGAAATGTACTTACAATTTTCCCTCCTGACCTGTGTTCAAATGGGATCATGGTGAACTTCTTTGTCTCCTTCCTATACATGCAGTAATGTTTTACCCAGCTGGAGCCAAATGGGGCAGGCCCTTAAAGAAAATCAAAGCATTAACTATGTCTTGTATCAGAGGGGTAGCCGTGTTAGTCTGAATCTGTAAAAAGCAACAGAGGGTCCTGTGGCACCTTTGAGACTAACAGAAGTACTGGGAGCATAAGCTTTCGTGGGTAAGAACCTCACTTCTTCAGATGCAAGCCTATGTCTTATTATTTAAAATGTTTTGTTGCTCTTCCAAGTTTACAAAATTCTACTTAACCTATCATTACATTCCTAAATGTACTGTATCAAATCGAGCAATACTGCTGTCAAATCATAATAAATGTTAGCCTATGTTTAGTGTTCTGTACACTGTTGCATGCTGTATTCTATTCTCACTGATATTTGCAATTTAATGGAAAACAGCTCTTACTAGATGCATCTCCATCCTACCTCCTTAACTGCTAGACAAAAGCATTTTTGCCAATACAATTGCTTACAATGAAATCAAGGAATTTCAGAGCACATTAGGTGTGCTCATCAGCAATTAAGCAGTAAACTCATCATATAATCCTAGTTCTAAACCAAAATGCTGTCTCATACATCATTATATACAGGTAAATCTGATTATCCAACTACCTGGAAGTGAGGGTATTCAGAACTTTGAATAATCTGTTTTGAATAAGTGAATTTGAGTACCAATATGAATTTCAGATTAAGGGATAAAAAAAAATTTTTTTTGAGTAACCTGAATTTGAACACTAGGCACATTTGGTTCCATAGACATTTTTCACTCTACCCAATGCAAGAAAGGCCAGCAAGTCAAACATACCACAGAATACTATAACATGGCTCATGGTCACCTGCATCTTTTATAAGAGAAACTGGGATCTTTTATCCGCAATACAGCCATTGCTATAGCTATTCATACCTTTGTCACTTCCAGGCCTTTCACTATAATATACTTTACTGTATTTAGTCTTTGATGAGTCCCTGGAAGCTTAGCTGGTACAGACCAACTTTGAGTAGGATTGGTCATTAAGAGTACAGAACACCAATGCTTCAAACTCTACATTACCTAGTTCTGGCTACAATCCCAGTGACAGTAATCATCTTTAAAAAACCTACATGATATAAACCCCAGTTATTTTAGAGACTACCTTACATTATTCTCTATGGCAACAGCTGAAATCAGCAAGGGCATCTCAGCTGTTGAAGCCTGGAACTCAGCTTTTTGGACATCAGAAAGGGAATTCCCTAAGGCCCCTTTCACTGACCCTTTCAAATGTCACAGCTATGGCTTGAACTGGGCACACACACGGGTAACACGGCGCATACTCACTTCTGAGCCAGCCACCATTTTTCTCCTAAACTTATGACATTGGTATCACCAGCCAGCCAGAACCAGAGCTCCAAAATCAAAAGTGCAGCTGGCAAGCTGGAACATAAACAAGCCCAGCTTGCTACTGCATCACTTCCCTCAGCAGAGAGCAATTGCCAATGGAACCAGCAGGAGCTGCCATTGCAGAAATTCCTGCCTTGTGAGCAGTAAGGAGGTCTTTACTGCTGCAATCTGACTATTTGCTGGGACAGAAACTCAGGAAGGCAGGAGTCCAGCCCAGCATATGATCTTAGCAAGGGAGCCAAGACCTCAGCATATCAGTGTGGTGAGTAGGCACAGCTTGGGAGAATCAGCCCTTCCTCCCACCCAATCTGATCCTGGTCAAAGTCTAAATTTAGTAAGATCAGATTAATATTCATTGCTTTTTTTGGTCCAATCAGCCTTGAGACTATACTTCTAATATTTGTTTACTGTTTCAGACCATAGAGTATTTTTTTAAATGAGGATCAGGATGTTTTTAATCAATTTGGTTGTTTTGATATTTTAAAGTAGCTAGGTACCACATTTATCTGCTATAGGCACTTTATTATTATTAAACACAGGTAGCAGAAATGCCTAAAGGATAGTCAATTAAATCCAGGTGCAGTCCAGGGAGACTACATCCAAGCACATAATGTTCCATACTGATTTGAGCAGAAGCATAAGCTGGTCAGGAAACGTTGTTTGCCTGGATATGCAGTCTATGTAGACTACACATCTACATTAAAGGAGGGACTAGCTGGGGAAAAAAAAGTGCTGCCCTCAGATTTCTAGCCAGCTGCCAATCCAGCACTCAGCTGGACACAGTCTGGGCAGCACTAGCTCTCCAAGATTCCTGAACTCCCATAAAAGTCCCTAAACCTTTTTCACATGATTTTGGATTTGATATAAAAGAATCAATGTGTCTTAATAGTTTCTATAGTTTAGCTGACAATGCTTACATTGAAACAAAATAAATCTAAACATTTGGCATCTATAGATGGGGAAAAGGCATTTAAAAATTAAAATACACCAGCATATTTGAGAATTATTTTTAAGTAGGGCAAAAGGGGGGGGTGGGATAGCTCAGTGGTTTGAGCATTGGTCTACTAAACCCAGGGTTGTGAGTTCAATCTTTGAGGGGGCCACTTAGGGATCTGGGGCAAAATCAGTACTTGGTCCTGCTAGTGAAGGCAGGGGGCTGGACTCGACCTTTCAGGGTCCCTTCCAGTTCTAGGAGAAAAGGTATAGGAAAAGAAAGGGAACAAGGACCCAAAACAGTGTTTTCTTAGAGAATGGAGTCATCAGGGTGATGATTCCTCAATGTAGGTGAGTTTAAAACACTTTTTCAGGACTAGCATGTAATACATTCAGGAGTGTGAAGCAATGACTGTGAATCCTTCCAAGGAGCATGTAGAATCTTCAATACGTGAGACACTCATTTTATATATGCCCTCATTTGCATCATACAAGATGTTCTTCTGATTATGCAATTAATCACCATTAACTCATTGAGAGAGTGCCAGCCTCAGGTTAGATAAAAATCAACATTAAGAGTGTGCATATTTTTAAAACTTTAAATCAGATTTTTTAAAACGATTAGACTTGTTTAAAAGCTAACATTTGAATTCACTGCCATTTGTCCAGGGTTAAGATCACTACAACTTATTAGTTAAATACACCGCAAGTTGGATTGTGTGTACTGGAATGCATCAATAGGATGTTCTTTGCATAACATCTGTGTATCAGCACAACAGGATTCATGATATTTGCTGTCCAACATTCAGCCTATTTTATTAAACAGTAAGAACACAACTAGATAATGAAAGCACATAGCTGAACTATGGAATAAGAGCTGGAATCCTCAAATTTAACTGGCCTGATTTAAGAGGTACTGGATTCTCTCTAAGTTTATTGCCCATCCAAAAGCCAGGCAGAGGAATGCTGGGTTGGACTGTTGGTCCCACCCCCTTCTATGACAGTAGGTAGATGCAGGAGAAGGAAAACATCTGGAGAACCAGCATGAACCAGAACTGCTTTGGCCACCAAGGAGGTATTAAGAATATTGTCACCTTGTCCATCTTTATCTTCCTGAGCACAACACGTGGTAGGAGGAGAATGGAAGGGAAGGCATACATCAGTGGGCCTGACCATTGTGTTAGGAAGGCATCCCCTCCGACGCAGCAGTAAGCTGTTCTGAGAGCAGTAAGCTGAGCACACTTCTTGTTTGAGTGAGTGGCAAAGTAGTCCCACAAAATATCTGCTGGACTGCTGTCACATGAGCACCGATTTGTATTCCTTGTGAAAATTCCTGCTGAGGCTGTCTGCTAGGGAGTTCATTATGCCCAGGAGGAGCACTGCAGAAAGGCTGATCTATGTTGGATATACCAATTCCAGAGTTGTATTGCCTCCCAACATAGTGGGTTGGACCTTGCTCCCTCCTGTTTGTTTATATAACAAACAGCGGTCATATTGTCTGACCTGAGTATAAAGGAATTGTTTGCATGCTTGGCATACTGACTGTAGGTCAAGGAGATTGATGTAGCACATGTACCCTTGGGGAGTCTGGGAACTTTGAACTACTTGGTCACCCAGGTGCCCTCCCCAGCCTAGAAGAGACATGTCCATGACAAAGGAATACAGGGAACCCACACAAACATTGTTGCTTTTCTCACACCAGGTTAGAAATGCCCAGATGTTGGGAGGAAGTGATACTCTTGTCCAAGGAGTCCTTGTTTGGGATGTAGACCTCACCCAGCCAGGTTTGGAAAGCCTGGTGAAGGGGGTCACATGTGCACAACGCCATGTGTCCTCTGAGGACCACACAGGATTGGACTGTCATTTGACTACTGAGTCAAAGTTCGATGTTAAGGTCTTTCATCGCAAGAACCTATCCTGTGGTAAGTAGGCCCTGGCCGCAACCAAGTCCAGGATTGTTCCTATAAATTTTATAGATGTTATGGAGTATTAAAATGGACTTTCCTGGGTTCATCTAAAGACCCAAGAACTGGCAAAGGTCAAGCAGGGTACTGAGTACTATCTGCACTTCTCTATACAATCATCCCTTCAAGAGCCAGTCATCTAGGCAGGGAAATATATGGTAGCACTGCTACTACAGACATGACCTTTGTGAAAACACTTGGAGCTATGGAAAGGCTGAAGAGGAGTTCCTTGTACTGGAATTGCTCTGAGCCCACCATAAAACATTGGGTAGATATCTATATGAAAATAAGCATCCTTAAATCAAGAACTGCAAACCAGTAGTCAACATTTAGGGAGGTTATTATAGAGACTAAGGTGATCATCCTGAATCTTGAGTGGCGGATGAAGATGTTCAGTTGCCTGAGATCCAAGATCCAGGATCCAGCCCCCTTTCATTTTGGGTATTAGGAAGTATTTGGAGTAAAAGCCCTTCCCCCATCTCAAGGAGGTATTGGTTCTATTGCCGCTACCTGGATCAGGGCTTCTATCTCCTGTATGAAGATTCTCTTGTGAAATGGGTCTCTGAAAACGGACAGGGAAGGGAGCTTGGGGGAATGCAGACACAGGAATTCGATCATGTAGCTGGCTAAGCGGATGTCCAAAACCCATTTGTCTGAAGTTAGGCATTGCCACATCAAAAGGAAATGGGCCAGGCAGTCACCAAAGAAGGTGAGGGAGACTGGATGAGCTGGGACTGATTGATATCTCCCAAACATCCCTGCAAAACCCCTTCTTGGTAGGCAGTTGGCTCTGGAGAGGAGATGGTGGTGCAGCAGTGAACCTGCCATGCTGTACTCTCTGGTGCTACATTGGTGGTTCATAAGGCCTCTGTTAATAGAACGGCTACTGGGCTGGCTGATATCTATGTTGCGATGCCTTAGAGCATCTTCTATACGGTTCCGGGGTGTATATTCCCAAGGAGCTGAGTATGGCATGGCAGTCTTTGAGTGAGTGAATGACTTGTCAGTCTTTTCACTGAAAAGGTCATTTCCACTGAAGGGGAGATCCTCCACTATTGGGGCTTCCCAAGGAAGTTACGGCAATGACCACAGCCAGGAGGCCTATTTCATGGCCACCGAGGTCACCATGAAGTGAGGTGCCTGCATCGAGTGATGCCTAAAGGGATGACCTGCTCCTAATATGCCTTTATCACAGATAGCCTGGAATTGGGACCTACATTCTGGTGGTAACTGACTGCAAACTCTGACAACTTATTGTAGTTAATAAAGTTGTACTTTGACATAATTGCTTGGTAGTTTGCAATAAGGAACAGTAGGCTGGCGGAGGAAATGTTCTCTCTTGACATCCTTGTCCGAAGGAAGTCAGTCTTGGTTGTTGTAGTCTGTTCTACTTCATTACCGCTTGTACCACCAAAGAGTTCAGGTTTGGAGGGAAGAGAATAAATATTTTGCCCCCTTAGAGAGAACAAAATATTTCTCTTCTCTGGAGAGTAGAGGCACAGGTGGCTAGTGTGTGTCAAATGTCTTCAGCAAGCTCCAAAATGGCCTCAATAGGGAGCGCTACATTGGAGGGAGCTTCTAATTGAAGAACGTCCAGGAGCTTGTGTGATGGGGGCCGTGAACTCCTCCAGCGGGATGTGGAGGGTATCAGCAATCCTTCTTAGCAGCTCTTGGTATTGCAACCATCAGGTAGAGGGAGGGAAGTTGGCACCACTGCCTCATCTAGGAATGAAGCAGGGATGTGTGGATCTGGCAGTACAGGCTGCTCCAGTGGCTCCAAATCCTCTTATTCCTTCCTCTCCGGTGGCAGTTGGGAATCTTCTGCTGGAGATGATCTTTTGTGAGAACAATGCCCCTAGTATTCAAATTCTGGACCTCTACTGTGTACAAGAAATAAAGCACGGGGAGGGGTCAAGATTGTTAAACAGCATGCTTATCCAGACCACACAAGTAGAAAAGGCAATTAAGAATGTGGGGGAGTAAATTTTGCAATGTGCAAGGCTAAAAGGTCCTGACCCACATGAATTCAATAATTCGATGGTGCCAATTATAATTGCTATTCCTAGATGGTCTGGGAATTGTAAAGAATTGGTATATGTTAACAGTATGGGTAAAACAGAGAATGGAATCTATAACAGCATTATCCCAGTGTGACGATGGCAAAACAAGGAGGAGAGGAAATAAACACAGCCTGCTGTTCTGCACAGACAGTTCTGTGAGTAATCAGCATGAACGAACCCGATCACAAGTGGGCCCGACTAGACATTAAAGAGAGAGTAAAGGAGGTGGTACGGCTAGGGGACACAGTATGTGCTCTGGGATACCACAACTTTTTGGTGTTGCCTGACTGGATTTTGTCTGAACCTCACCTCTCCGGCTCAGATAGGGACCTATGCCCTATGGCCAAGTGTGCAGATGAAGGAAGATGTGACAGAGGCTGTGACAGACAACACCAAATGAGAGTCACCGGTGACCGCTCTCTTTGCGCCCATACTTCCTTTGTCCATTAACACCACTGATTTGGTACAAAGGAAAAAAGAGCAATTGGTGTCCATTGCCCAACTGATAGCTGAGCAACAGGAAATTGGGGGCAGTGCTGTACAGGCAGTAGAGACACCCTGATGGAGTATTCCAGAGCAGTTAAGCTTGCATCCCTTGGTTCGTACTTTGAGTCTAATATTAATGATGGTTCAAATGATTACAACTACTCTGGTCTTAGGCATGTGTTGCTGGGTAATAAACTTGAAAAGGAAGGCACAGAAAGACAGGATTACGATGCAAACAAATGCTAGTATAGGAAAGCTTGACCTCACACGAGTAATTAAACACATGTGGGGAGGCCTCATTCTTTGGAAAATAGAATTAGGGTGGTAAATGAATTCTCAGGCTGAAAAAAGGACGTTTGTGCTAAATAAGATAAGTAAATATGTCAGTAGTTTAACAAAACAGAATGTCTAGCCTGCTAAGATAAGAGGGAGAACACTCAGGGAAACATTTACTATAAACAAGCTAACAATGGACAGGATAAGTTAGAAATGTAGAGATGTGGTAAAGAGTTGGTCGAATATGGCCAATGAGTGAACAGAAAGTATGCTGCACAGCCCCTGAAAAGTAACCATGTCAATTCAAAAACGTGTGATACAGCATATAGTAAATGCAACGAGATGTGCAATGTATATAAAGAGAGAGGGTTTGGGCATAACTTTGAAGCTATGATGTACCCTGCATCCACCACCTCTGTGTTTGGATCTAATAAACTCAGCGTAGCACTGCTGAATGCAAAATAAAAATATCTTAGTAATGCATACCTGAGTTCTTGGAAAGCCAAGTGGAAAGAGGTCTTGGAGGGAATCCCACCACATAATAGGGGCTCCAGGCACTCCAGTAAGGCCAGTAGATGGCATCATACTGATAGTTCAGCAGACCCCATGGTGATTACCATTGATCCATGGTTGGTAGATAAAGGTCCTATGGAAGTGGAGGTCCCCAAAAGGCTATGGGGGCCCTGTATGAACTGACATGCAGTGGAGAGACCATCAGTGTAACTGACAGCACCCATTCCTCCTCAGAGTAAGAGTTGTCAGACTCTAAGGGTGGAACCATCAGTACTGGCTGCATTCAGCCAGAGGTGTAAGCAGGTGAATAGTATCCCACCAGTGTTGGAATATCCATAGCCCTGCCAGTGCTCAAGACCGGCAAGTGACGCCTGGACAATGTTGTGATTGGAGCATCAGGTCAAATCAGATTGGTGACTCTGGATGTGTGTAAATAATCAGATCCTCAATAAGGGCATACCAAGGTCTGGCAGGAGAACTGACTGGAGTCTTTGGAATTCGATCCATTGTATAGGTGTGGGTATGGTAGTTTTAGCATTGTGCAAAACCGATGGTGCTAAATGTCTAGGGATTAACAGGGGGAAACCCCTGGTCCCCACTCTCTAAACTACAACTATACACTAATTAACTATGAAACTATTAACTAACAAAACTATTAAAACTATATACAATGTTTTTACAAGAAGTTGAGCATAAGAAGCTAGAAACTACTAACACAGAAGGTTCTGTCCTAGACCACACATGGTAGAAAAAGAACTGAAGAGGTGGTTGGTCTACGTCGCCACATCTGCCTACAGTTCACCCCACGAGGAGGCATAATGCACCAGCGCAGACCAACAAACGTTGCTATTGAAAAATTTCCAGTACCAGACACATGGAATGCATGTTCACCCACAATGAATAGCTTGGTTCCAGCCTCAAAGAAGAATAAACATTTCCTGTAAAGGGCTTTACATTCAACAACAAAATCTTTAGTGCACTGTACAGAGAGTCAGTTGAAGACTCTATCCCCAGCTCTGCCACCGATTCACTATGTGAGATTGGCTAACTCACTGAGCCTTTCTGTGCCTCACTGGAATACTAAGACAGGAATATTACAGCCTCCCTACCTCACTGGAGGTTTCCTTAATTGATATTTGTATAGTGCTTGGAGATCACTGTATGAAAGACTATATATTAATATTAAGTATGATATTAAATTTGTAAAGAGATGAGCACACTGAATTATAAATGCACTTTTCTTAAACCAAATGCTTTTTGAGTAGAAACTCTGTGCATGCATACATGTTTGTCGAAGTACATGTACTTGAATGTGTATAGCACTTAGAAGATTTTGGGCACGACTGGAATACAAATAATAAAATAAAAATGTATCTTACTTTTTTCCTGCACATAAAGGTAGCCTTCTATTGTAAACTGATTTGCTCTTTTATGTTCCTGAGGATTCCGCCTGATTTTGTTCATGAGCTCCTCCACCTCCGATCTTGTTCCTTCAAAACGATTTCTTGTCTAAATTTCCAAAAAAAGGGATATTTAAAACAGAAAAAAATACTAAGAAAGCTACATTCTGAAGCTTTGTGAGCAGCCTATCTCAACCCTCCAGCATCAAGACACACACACACACACGGAGAACAGGCATTCTGGTCCAGAAGCAGGTTGCAATACCACCTGGAAACAGGCTATCCCTGACTGCTACTGGTCTGGTGCTAACCAATTTGGCTTTGGAAAGCTGAATGTAGGTAAAGTGGTTGCAGAGGTTTCTGGGGCATGCCTAAAGTAAATCCTGCCTTTGAGAGAATGGGGTTTTCAAACTGCGCTGGGGCCATTGCTGGAATTCATGTGCCCATAGTTTGCTTGCCCTCCTAAAGGAGCACGTGAGTACGTAAACTAAAAAAGGTACTGCTCCATTGTTATGCAGGCCTTTGAAGACCATATCAACATGGGCTGCACTGGAAAAGTTCATAATGCCAGGATTTTCTGCCAATTGGGAGTCTACATTCAAGGACGGGCTGAGACACTAATCCCATGAAATGACATTGCCACAAACAGAGTTACTTTCCCAACTATTATTCTAGGGGACCCCACGTACCCTATTTTGCCTTGGCTTATGAAAGCATACCCTGATCTCAGAGGCCCCAGCAAAACAAGATTAAATTACACTTTCAGAAGATGCAGAATGGTGGTTGAATGTGATGTGGCATATATAATCCCCACTGGCAGAGACCCATTTGGATTCCAATGTCATCAATGCTGTTTGCATTACTGTGACTTGCTGTGCTCTTCACAATCTTTGGGAAGCAAAAGATGAGACATTTCTCCAGAATGGACCCATGACAGTGACAGACTGCTGAGCCAGTACCTCAGCCACAAAATGCAGCTACCACAGCTGCAGCAGGATGCACCCGGGCAACAGAAATTAGAGATGCTCTGTGCTCTCACATCATGGACCAATGGAAGACAGAAAGTAATACCTTTTATGAATGTGCTTGTGCAATTCTTATAGTATATTAGGTAAGGTGGGAGTAGTGGTAAGGTGGGAGTGATTGTCATGCACTGTACTGCTTAAAAAACATGTGTGAAACAGATTAATAGATTCTAAAGGCAGAAGGGACCATTGTGATCATCTAGTCTGACTTCCTGTATAGAACAGGTCATACACAGAACTTCCCCAAAATAATTCCTAGAGCAGATCTTTTAGAAAAAACATCCAATCTTGATTTTAAAATTACATCAACCGTGATTCTACGCCACTCAGGGAGGTGGCATTACTGAATCGGCATAGAGAGACACTTTACAGTGGACAGCTCCACTGACCTCTGTGTCTTTTAGGCTCTCAACCTCAGGGTCATTTCTGACTCTTCTTTCCGTTCTCCTCCCACATCCAAGGCTGTCACCAAGTTTTGCCACTCCTTCCTCTAGAGAATTTTGAAAATCCAACCCAGCCTTTCAATTCCAACAATTATAACACTAATACCCTACCTTCATTACTGCAACCTCTCTGCATTTCCTGATGCACATATTGCTACCGTTCAGTCCATCCAAAATATTGCTACAAAGATTATTTTCCTTTCCCATTGCTCTGACCACATCACTTCCCTCTTCAAACTTCTCACTGGCTCACCTTCATCTACAATTTCAAGTTCAACTCCTCATCTTCACCTTCAAAGCCCTGTACAACTTCATCTTGGCCTACATTTCAGATCTTATTTCTTATCCTGTCCTACTTCAGCTTTTTTGCTCTAATACCAATATTAGACTCAATGCCCTTTTACTATCCTTCTCCTACTTGCACCTTGGTGCCTTCTTTTATGCTGCCATCTGTGTTTGGAATAATCTCCCAATCCCAGTGGGAAAGACCCCTCACTTTAATTCCCTCCAGACAGGGTAACTTCTTCCAAGAAGCCCACTAGCACAAAGTCGAGTCATGTCTATAATCAGACTGTAACCTCCTAGAAATACTGTTCCGTAATTCCAGACAACCCTGGAGACCAACAGCCAACCAACAAAACAAATGTTGCACAGGCAATAGCAGTCTAAGTTTCCCTAAACAGCTCAATACTTGAGTGCTTCAAGTACATTATTTTCTGAAAGTATTGTTCTGAAGAAGAAAGTCTGGTTCAGAGTCTCCATGTCATTCTTTCTTTGGCTCCTTTAATGCAAGTACCAACAAGTGTGACAAAAATTGTTAAGAAGCCTGGCTGTCTCATTGTATGTTCTTCAGTTACCTACAGTGTAGTTCTGTAGTAATGACTTAAAGTCAATCCAGTTAAGATGTATTCCATTGCCAAAACTCTGAGCCCACCAACTGCACATAATTAAAATAAACTATTAATTACATTAAACTTAAACATATCGAGTGTGAACATGAAAGAATTTAAACGTAAACTATGAAAAGTTGACAGAAAATATTGTAAAGAGTATTAGCGAACACTAGGTGGCAGGATTAGCTGTATTCTCAATTATTGCACAGTGGCTCATTCAGTCACGTAGTTGGTTAGCCAGAAGATGGCACTATAACCCCAAAGTTTCTCTTGATTAACTTACATTACCAAGAAACAAGTTATTCAAATATACAGTACACATTTTTTATTCCACAAATTTGTAAATTGCTTAAATAATAAACATCTTAACTTACATTCTGGATATTGATCTGCAGAGCCATTTTGTAGTGATTGAAGTCTTTGGCGAGTTCATAGCCCTGATGATAGAAAGTGAATATACCCTGAAAAAATGACAGCACCTGGAATACAAGCAGAAGAGCTTTCTTAGCAGGGAGAACACCAATTGCCAGCAAAGATTGCTGTCTTCTCATTTAGTCTTTAGTAAGCATTTAAAAGAACAAGTAAACAAAAACTATCAGATTTTTTTAATAAAAATATTCTTACTAATGTCTACTATTCACGAGAATCTATTTAGTTAAAAATGGCTAGCAACATAACTAACACCTGTGGAGCCTGTCTTGCTTCCAGTCTCTTACAAATTATCTTTATTTTAAACTTGATTCAAACAAGTAAGAAATAGGGCTGACGATTAATCGCAGTTAACTCACGTGATTTTTTCAAAAAAAATTGTGATTAAAAAAATTGATTGCGATTAATCACAGTTTTAATTGCACTGTTAAACAACATAATACCAATTGAAATTTATTAAATATTTTGGATGCTTTTCTACATTCTCAAATAATATTGATTTCAATTACAACACAGAATATAAAATGTACAATGCTCACTTCATATTATTTTTATTACGAATATTTGCACTGTAAAAATGATAAAAGAAACAGTATTTTCAATTCACCTCATACAAGTACGATAGTGCAATCTCTTTATTGTGAAAGCACCACTTACAAATATAGATTTTTTTGTTACATAACTGCATTCAAAAACAAAACAATGTAAAACTTTAGAGCCTTCAAGTCCACTTAGTACTACTTCTTGTTTAGCCAATCGCTAAGACAAACAAGTCTGTTTACATTTACGGGAGATAATGCTGCCCAATTCTTATTTACAATGTCATTAAGGGGCGGAGAGGGATAGCTCAGTGGTTTGAGCATTGGCCTGCTAAACCCAGGGTTGTGAGTTCAATCCTTGAGGGGACCATTTAGGGATCTGGGGCAAAAATCTGTCTGGGGATTGGCCCTGCTTTGAGCAGGGGGTTGGACTAGATGATCTCCTGAGGTCCCTTCCAACCCTGATATTCCAAGAATTAGCAATTAACCAGAAAGTGAGAACAGGTTTTCACATGGCACTTTTGTAGCTGGCATTGCAAGGTATTTATGTGCCAGATATGCTAAACATTCGTATGCCCCTTCATACCACCACTACAGAGGACATGCTTCCATGCCCATGATGATTGTTAAAAAAAATAACACGTTTGTTAAAATTGTGACTGAATTTCTTGGGGGAGAATTGCATGTCTCCTGCTTTGTTTTACCTGCATTCTGCCATATACTTTATATTATAGCAGTCTCAGATGCTGGTCCAACACATGTGGTTCATTTTAAGAACACTTTCATTGCAGATTTGACAAAACACAAAGAAGGTCCGGTGAGATTTTTAAAGACAGCTACAGCACGCAACCCAAGGTTTAAGAATTTAAAGTGCCTTCCTAAATCTGAGAGAGACAAGGTGTGGAGCATTCTTTCAGTAGTCTTAAAAGAGCAACGCTCCGATGCGGAAACTACAGAACCTGAACCACCAAAAAAAAAAGCATCAACCTTCTGCTGGTGACATCTGACTCAGATGATGAAAATGAACGTGCATTGCTTTGGACTGTTAACGAGCAAAACCCGTCATCAGCATGGAGGCATGTCCTCTGAAATGGGGGTTAAAGCATGAAGGGATGTATGACTCTTTAGTGCATCTGGCACAAAAATGTCTTGCAATGCTGGCTTCAACAGTGCCATGCAAACACCTGTTCTGACTTTCAGGTGTAAACAAGAAGTGGGCAGCATTATCTCCTGCAAATGTAAACAAACTTATTTGTCTGAGCGACTGGCTGAACAAAAAGTAGAACTGAGGGGAATTGTAGGCTCTAAAATTTTACACTGTTTTATTTTTTAATGCAATTATCTTTTGTACACAATTCTATTTACAAGTTCAACTTTCATGATAAAGAGATTGCACTGCAGTACTTACATTAGGTGAATTAAAAATATTATTTATTTTGTTTTTTACAGTGTAAATATTTGTAATCATAAATAACTATAAAGTGAGCACTGCATACTTTGTATTTTGTGTTGTAATTGAAATCAATATATTTGAAAATGTAGAAAACATCCAAAAATATTTAAATAAATGGAATTCTATTATTGTTTAACAGTGCAATTGAGAGATTAATCATGATTTTTTTAAAATCCTGCGATTAATCGTAATTAATTTTTTAAATATCTTGACATCCCTAGTAAGAAAAGGCAACTCCCAAAGCAAAGCAAGGGAGAAAAACCCACAGAAAGACAGGCCTCTGTATTATGGAGAAAAGGTGCCACAGCCTAATAATGTAATAATACTTTGAAGCCACATTTAAGCAAACTATTTTCAAAATAATGGTTCACGACCCTTGCAAAAATGTAAGGCTCAGAAAATATCTATGTGGCAAATGAGGAGATGGGAATAAGCAATCGGTAGCAGGTACACAACTAACCATCTCAATTCATTCCCTCAGTGAAAATTAAACATTAAAAAAAAGGAATATAATTTGCAGATATTGAATATAATAGACTATATTCAGATACAAATCAAGCAATAATTTCCTCCCACATACAACTTACCCAGTCTGCAGAGGGAAAGGTTGTTGCGAAAAGCAGTTGAAAGAACTAGTTCACCAGGATATGGACATGAAATTTGAAAACGTAATTTGGAGAGGTACTAGTTTTAATTGGGCTTTCAGGAAGATGAATGGCTTTTGTTATGGAATCGCTAGACACCACAATACTAAGCTCATAGATTCATTTATTTTAATTTGTTTTAACAAGACTTAGGGGACGCATGCAAAAACACTTAAGGACTTGTCTACAAACAAGCTGTGCCACCACTTCAAATATCTTGTGTAGGCAGAGCACTACAAACCCCCTACTATATGGACATAGTTTATATCAGAGTGCTTATACCAGTATAGCTTATTCCTGTATAGAAAGGAGAACTTTTAATCAGTATAACTGTCCACACACGGCTTTATACTGGTGTGACTGACTGTTTAAAAAAAAAATCACACCCCTAACCCAAAAAGTTATACTGCTACAAAATCTAAGTGTAGATAAGACCTACGGGATTTAAGATCACAAGTCAATAACACTTATCATCTTAAGTCCCAACTCACTGCTGAAAAACACCATACACCATCTCAATAACTATCATAGTAAGAGTGGTTCTGAATGTTTCATAAATACATCTGAAACCAGAGGATACTGGCATAGCTTAAGATTTTGTTACAAACCTAATTCAACTCCTCTCTGTGAAGGTTTGGGGAAATTTTAGAGCCAGCCGCCGCAGGAACTTTGAGTAAGCCTGGTCAGCATTGTTATGGTTTAGCTTGAAACCAAGTGAAGCTCATTGGTTTTACACACTTTAAACCCTGGCCACGTTTGGTAGTTTTAGACTAATTTTGCTGTGAGATTTTGGACCAGATTCAGCCTTTTAGTGAGTGGGCTCAACTATAAATGAAGTAAATAGGAGTTGAACCTGCAAACCCCATCCTGGAAATATGCTCTTTCGATTATTCACGTTACATTTCAGGGGCTATGAATTCAATAAAAAAAAACCCGTTTGCCCAAAGACCCTGTGAACAAAAGCTGCCAAGTTTTACACACCTCTGCCCTTAACAACCTAAGCCAGGGTCTTCTGTAGAACATCTCCAGGGCTCGTCTGTACTCAAAAACTTGCATGAAGGTAACTAGATCAGTTATAGTTACACTGGTGACTTTAAGCTAAAATCAGTTTGTCTCTCTCTATATATTGGGAGTTTGCATAGATGTAATATGATAGTTTTTAATTCTACTTAAAGCAACAGAGCGTCCTGTGGCACCTTTAAGACTAATAGAAGTATTGGGAGCATAAGCTTTCGTGGGTAAGAACCTCACTTCTTGCATCTGAAGAAGTGAG